CTCCCCCCCGTTGTCCCGCTGTTGACCACCGCCTGTTTCCTCTACTCGTAGCCGTTGGCAACCACTGCTTACTAAAGTTATATCCCAAATATGGTCGTAATGTATAACATTGTATTGAAGACTTGATAATAACTTACAGTCTACATAGCCATTGACCACCATTGACCACCATCACCGACTACCACTATCGTCGTCGACCACAGCCACATGCAACCACTGCTTACAACCTTCTTAGCCGGAATACGACAGTTGTACCTAACACTTGTATCTTTCTTTACACTGTATACTCACAAATGCAATGTTCACTATAAAATTGTAACTGTATTTTGAGATAAGTGGTGCAATCACGAACTACGACTATTATAAATTTTAACTACGACAACTGTGACCAACTGAAGCTATTACAGTCACAAACTACAGCTTATGTGGCCAATTGATGTTATTGCAGTGACCAGGTACAATCTCTATGGTTAATTGACGTAATTGCAGTCATCAACTATGATCTATGCGGTCAATTAATTTTTTTTCAGCTACCAGCAACGGCTTATATGGCAAACCACCACTATAAATTTCAATTACTACGAACTGACAGTATTGCAGTTACTGACTACGGCCAATGTAGCCAACTACTACTGTAATAGCTTTTAACTACGGTCTATGTGACCAACTACTACTGTTACAACTTCCTATCATGCTCTTTATGACCAAATGACACTATTGCAGTCCCCAAAGACGACCTTTGTGGCAACTGACGATATTGCAGCTTCCAACTTTTGTGGCCAACTACAACATATGCAACAACCAACTACGTCCTTTGTGGTCGACTACAACATGTAGAACAACCAACTATGGCCTTTGTGGCTAATTGCTATCGATATAGCTTTCAAATGCATCCTCTATGGCCAGTTGCCGCTATTATAGCCTTCGTGATCAACCACATCTGTTATAGTCATATTGCGGCTATTATAGGTAAGCTACTATTGTACAATTGTAATATCAACATTGCAATTCCATCTTATATGATTCACGAGAATAGTAGATATATGCACTTATAAACATATAGTGCATTGCTTTGATTGGGTTAGGTCACGTGATTTTTACTCTTTCAAGAGTTTTTCCACGTAAAAATCTCGATGTCTACTCTTGTTACTTTTCTAATTATTTGTATGTGTGATGGACTTTCGTATAATGCTAAGACGTTAAATTATCACTCTATCGCCGTGAATTTTTTGACACATAATAATTGTAATGCCAAATCATTAATTTGTCAACTATTATAATTATTCTGAAATTTTTATTATTTGTTTTATATGTTTTCAATTAGAAGATCCATGAAGATTGTATAAATATTATACAAATATGAAAATGAAATATTCAACTAATTTTCTATATTTCTTGTCAGATTTGGTAAAAAATCAACTTTAATGTAAAGTGTCTTTATGCAAAACTAGTTTTTTAGCTAAGCTCAAGTGAAATAGGTGAAACAATGTTAGTTCATTTCAGGAATTTTCTTTTTCACAAATCCATTCGCTGCAATTTATTTGTCGTCTCTTACTTCTCATGTTTGATTCGTTCGTTAAGCAAATGAGTCAAATGAGAACAAATTTTTTGAGCCCTATTTATAAATCAGCTCAACACGATCAATTTGACTTGAATTAATTAAATAATAAATAAACAAAATTAATATAATATTTATATATATTAAAATTTTATATTATACTAAAAAATAAAATTTAATAATTTAAAAAAAAAATTGAGTTAGGACTGTAACTTGGAAAATAAAATTTCTTTGTTGAGTTTGTAAATACAATGTACCCTATAGCGAATTATTGTTATGTCGCCACTATCATTGTTACCATTGCTACATTGTCGTAGTCCTTTGCTATGCCATCAATAACACTATTTCATATTCAATTTATGCAATGATTAATAAGAATAACTTATGATAAATATTTTACATTTCACATCAAAATGTAAGCAAAATAAAATTAAAAACTAACTATCGACACAAAAAAAAGGTGAAAATAATAATTATAGTAGCTAAAATAACATTGAGAGCTTCAAGTGAGTCTTGTGATGCTGAGAGAAGATGCTAGCTCTTTCTGCCATAATGGAGCATGAGACGATCACAATATGTTCACAAGTATGAGAATAAAATGAATGTAGATGGATTTTATGCTTTATAGACAAAAGCCTTCATAACTAATTATATGTTGAGTAAAAGGCCCAATAAAACTATTCGACACCTTCTTGAATGCCTAATTTTAGTGCATCAATAAGAAATGTCCAAAGAGAGACTAAATGCTCAAATTCGAGAACATCAACTAATTTAGATCATTAATGTTGCATTAGAGTATGATTAATTAACTTACTACTATGTTTAAACAAGTGGTTTACAAATGCTTGTTATGGACAGAAAAATATATCTTATGATCTTGCTCTGTGAGCAAGATGATTCAAATGCATATGAAGGTCGATAGTGTAATGAAAAGATGCAATGTAATTTTGATCTAAATCCTCATCATATTAGCCTTCTATCAAACACTTAGTAGGCTTGAAGAAATGCCTAGATCTTCTGAGCATGGATGTCCTTGAATTTTTCTCTAGTTTGATTAGTAGTTCATACTAATGCCTAAGGCTAAATGTAACATTATGCACTAAAAAGTGAAAATTTATAAATGATAGATCCAAGATTGTAAATGTATAGAAATTTGTGATACATTAAGTTTATGTCTAGGTTAAGAAACTTTATCTAACACATCTATTGAAAATATAATTAGATATATATCACTACATTTTTTTTCACGTATGATTTTGGTGCATCTAAAGATTAGTGGTGTATGACTTATGAAGAAGGTTGATTAAAGAAAACTTTAATTGAAGGAATCCATCAACTAGATGAGCCCTCATTTGGTGCTTAAGTGACATGTGTTCGAACAATCTTCAAATGATACTCGAATCATGATCAAACAAAGATCTGATAAGAGTTGAATATTGTTCAAAATTTATTTTATTAATTATCGAATAATGTTTATATGAAGATTAAATCATCTTTGAATAATGATTAAATAGTTTTTCAATTATAATCAAACCATCATCCTTGAATCATTTTTAAATAATAAGCGAATAATCTTCAAACAATGGTTAAACAATCTTCAAAACTATCACTAAGGGCCTGTTTGGGGCAGCTCATAAGTGTGGCTTGTACCATTTAGTTCGCGCGTTTTATCATTTTATCTGAAATCGTATTTGGATTTTTACACTAAACGCAGGCCGCAGGTCGAACCCTGAGGCCCTCCCTCGGACTGCATTTCAGGATAAGCAGCTTATCCTGAAATGTACAAGCTGCCCAAAACACACCCTAAATCACCATTTAAAAGTCTGTTTAAATGTTGTGAGGGAGTAACATCAATGTGAGGGAGTAACATCAAATAGCAGATTAGCATCATCTTTACCCTTTCGAGCCAACCAATCCGCAGGAGAATTACCTTCTCTATATAAAAAAAGACATGCATAATAATATGATGCTTATTAATGAGATCCCTAATCTTGTTTATTGTAACAAGTATATTCCATTTGGATCTCAAAGCTTGAGTGAACTCATCATAAAGGATTTGTGAATCAGTTTCAACAATAACTTTAGTCAACTTACAGCAAACTGCCACTTGTGAAGCCAGCAACACCGCCCAACACTCAGCCTCAAGAGGAGTGGATGCATGGATGGGTTAAGGACATACCCTCAATTCTTGTGTTCTTGTATTATTAATACAAACTTTATATATTTACATCTTATATATGTATAAAAATATATATTTCATTTAGGGGTGTAAGTGAGTCAAGCTGTTTTGTGAGTCGGCCGAGCTCAGCTCGTGAACGTTGAGCTAACAAACCAAGCTCAAGTTGGCACATGGCTTAGCTCTTTAGCTCGTGAGTCAGCTCGTTTTAAAAAATATTAATACAAAATGCTCTCACAATAATTTAAAATTGAAAACTTTATATTTAAAGTATTTAAAATTGTTTAAAAAATAATATATTGTACGGTATATTAGATGATTTTTTTTTTTTTTTGTTAATTGCTCATCCTAATTATCATCTTATTATAAAATTATCTTAAATTAATAATATTTTATCTCTTTTATGATAAACAAGCTTGTTTGAGCTGGTAGACTTAAGCTTGAGCTCGAGTTCAAACTCGATAAAAATAATGAAGCTCAAGTTGAGAGTGGCTCGACTTGAATATTTTTAATCTGATAAGGAATATTGCAAGGATTTAAATGTAAAAGATTATGCAAATGCGTATTTTAGGCTGTAATAATCGTTCCGATCGTTTGCGACGGAAAGGCCGCCCTAAATTCCTCCTTTTTGGCAGTATCGATTCGGGTAGAAATGAAAGCGAGGAAGACGAACTAGAACGCAGTCAGCGCAAGAACAATTGCCGGAGTACCGCCGGAGAGTTTGCGATGGCGAGTTTCTGGAGAGCAGTTATGGGATCATCGACGGAGCCGGATGCCCTAACCGACGGGGTGGAGTTCTGGTCGAATCCGGAGCGCGGGGGGTGGCTCACGAAGCAGGGCGAGTACATCAAGACATGGAGGCGGCGTTGGTTCGTTCTGAAGCAGGGGAAGCTCTTCTGGTTCAAGGATCCTGTTGTCAACCGTTCATCGGTCCCCCGTGGCGTCATCCCCGTGGCCTCATGCCTTACCGTCAAAGGCGCCGAAGATGTCATCAATCGGCAATTTGCGTTTGAGCTCTCGACCCATCGGGAGACGATGTATTTCATTGCTGATTCGGAGAAGGAGAAGGAGGAGTGGATTAATTCTATCGGCCGGTCCATAGTCCAACACTCCCGCTCCATCACCGACCGTGAAGTCGTTGATTATGATAGCGCTCGGGCGGCCGAAGCATCCAGACAGTAGATCTGATCCTGTTGAGGATGAATCAATCCCTTTGTTTTGGTACTAGGTGAGCTTCTTTCTTGATCTTTATCTTCTACCTTGGGCTCCCTTCTTCAAGCTGTGACGTGGTTGTTTGATGCTCCTCGAAGTTGATTCTTCTTATGGTGCTGTATGTATATTTAATCTAAGATTTTTAATTTTGCCTGTATTTTTGTGAAGACTGTTTGGAAATCTGTTCTTATAAGTTATGATTATATACATTGTGTTTAACTAAATTTTTGCTTCCTGCAATCTATAAATTTTATAATTTTCTTCTCGTTGTAAGTTTTAATGTTTCTAAGCCTACATCTTGAGAATCAATCTGATGAGGCTTTCAATAGATTGATTAACTTTATGGTAAATTATGTTATCTAGCAGATCTTGATGATTAGTGAATCACAAGGAGGTGTATTGCCTTGTGAGTAAAATTTTTGCTACCTCTGGCCTGGTAGGTTTTGGTATGTGATTTCAAGATAGTGATACAAACTCTTCTTGATAATTGGTATTGCATTCTTTGTGGAATTGGATGAGCACATTTGTAAGGCTTTTGAGGAAAATTATGCAATTTAAAATTTGGGAATTGAAGTGATTTTATCTCTCAAAGATTATATGAAAAAGCAACCCAGTCCATTGGATTATTGGCCAAGCAACTGTGGGTAACTATAACTTCTACTTGAGCATTCAATTCCATTTAAATTCATAGATGGTAAACAAAATCCTTTTATGAAAGCCTTTTTGGGGGATTTACTTACATAGCACTCAAACCTCATTATATTACATATCTCACACCCAAATTTTAATATTTACACCGTCTAGAACTCCATTATCTATCTCGCTGGACATCAGCCTGCAGATTTGATCAAGCTTGCGAGAAAAAAAAGATAGGTCTGGAAAGAGATCGCAGCATACAGAGATCTCTGAAACTTTGATCTTTTTACTCATGTGAAACAACGACGAACAAAGGTCATGACGTACAAAGATCTATGGGAAGGCAGTGACACGTCTGAGAAAGTCATCGTTTTTCTCTCACTGTCAAACAACAAAAATGACAACTGTAATTCTATAGATTCTTAAATCTCATCCTTCCATCGTTTGCCTTAAATCTAGGCACGGCATAAAGAAAATACCATTTTAATGCAACGATTAAAAATAGCATTATATTAAAATGGTGGTGCTTTTTCATGCCTTAAATTGAGAATGAGAAGACGGCTGGGTGGGAGGAATTGGGAGAAAACGAGGGAGGGTTATCTTCCTCGATGGTATCGGATAAGAGCGGATCGGGAGGAGGAGAAAAATCGCAGTTGTGAAGGTTTTTAATCGTTGCAATCCTGTAGCTGGAATCTAGCCCTTGACAGGGTTAGGATTGTAACGGTAGGGGTGTTAGATTTGTTTTTTTTTTTAATATTTTAGGTGTAGAATATGCAAATATTGAAGTCGGTGTGAGATATGTAATCAGGTATATTATAGATTGATAAAAAAAAATGAAGAGGTAATTCTAACAAAAAAAAAAATTGAAGACGTAATTCTAAATAAAGTGTACAAAAATAAGGCTTTAGATCCAATAGAGATATCTATTCATATTTTGAGATTTATGGGGGACAGTAAAATGGTTTGATTAGCAAATGTTTTTATTAGAAAAAAAAAATGAAGAGGTAATTCTAAATAAAGTGGACAAAAATAAGGCTTTAGATCCAATTGAGATATCTATTCATATTTTGAGATTTATGGGGGATAGTAAAATGGTTTGATTAGCAAATGTTTTTATTAGAATTTTCAAGCTGAAGAGGTGCCAAGTGTTCTGAGAAGAAGCATTTTAGTACCAATATTTAAGAATAAAAGATTATTTAATAATTAGGAATATATTTTTGATAATTAGATTTGCTATAGACTAATTCAAATGTAAAGCAAAGTTACCCAAAAAAATGATGATTAAAAAATATGGCTTCAGGTCCAAATGAGATCCATTTAGATTTGTATATTTATGGGGGATACTATAACGGCTTGGTCAGCAAATCCTTTTACTAGAATTTAAAATTCTAAAAGAATGCTAAATATTTGAAGCATTTTGGTAGAAATATTTAAGAAATAAGGAGATTTTTGAGGTTCTACTATATATATAGAAATAAAGTTCTAAATCATACAATATAGTTATGAAAGAGAGTACTGGAGTATTGGCTTTAAATATTTTAGTTTTGTGTCCACTTTGGAGAGCAATTTAGTTTCATTTCAGAAAGATTTACTATAAAATGATATTTTAATGCAATATATGATGAAAAAGTAAAGAAGCTAGCGAAAGGCTTTCATTTTAATTCTATTGATTTAAAAATGTATATGATCAAGAATCATAAGAATTGATTTAATTTGCATTTAGATAGACATGGTAGCAAATGTATATTGTAATTTTTAATGATATTGTGGTGAATCATTGACTACTATTGAAATCAATTGCGGATTGAACAAAGAGTTTCTAATTTTAGGAGGATAACATCAAGGACCAATATTGAGTTCATAAAGATTTTTTATTAGCTTCAAAATAGGGTGCATTCATATACTTCTTTTAGAAGTATAATTAGTAAATAATTTGTTGAAATAAATAAAATTTCAGAACAATCAAAAAAATGTTGAAAAAAAAATGTTTGTGGCATGCAATTCTTGTAGATTTTATATTAATAATTATTAATTTATATTATTAGATATAATATACTCAAGTGAGATGGCTGTAAGTATGTTAGATTTATGGTAAAGAGTAATAGGGATATAGATGGGATAAAATATTTAGGGTCATGGTCCGGTGGTTAGAACTTAGAAGTGCATCAGGAGTAATTTTGCGATTTAAGGATAATGAAAACCTAAAGGTAAATTATATAAATTGGCAATTAGCCTGATTGTGTTATGTGGAACTAACTGTTGTGTTGTAAAAAAATATTTGATGTTTAGTTTGAGCATGAAAAAGTTGAGAATGTTAAGATGGATGTGATACAAAATTAGGAAGGATGATTAAAGATAAACTAATTGTGAAAAAAATTGGTTGATTTGTACATGCATGATAATTAATTGAAAATACATCAATTAAAGGAGTAGATAAAAAATAATGTAGAGGATTAGAAAGGGAAATGGGTAGACTTAAGATAATGCGGATATAAGTTGTTTAAAATGATTTGCAAAGAAGAGGTTCAATACTTTTAGAAACACTCGACATGAACGAATGAAAATTTTGCAACTTAAATTGTTTAGATAAGGCTAATGATGATGTTGATGTGATTGATATTCTTTGACCTCCTTAATATACACTAACAAGCATGTTCACCTTCATCATCATTAGTGTTTTGCCAACTATTTGGTTCAACTTTATCAATCACCTGTTAACTCTTATTTAGTGCTGCCTTTGTTTATAACCTTTTTTTGATTGCTTGTTTACACAACCCCTAGCCATGCCACTATTGGTCTATGATTAAACATATTTCTTTCTAATTCTCTTCCAAAATAATATTATCTTCTTAATTTTGGTATATCTTTTATCTTTTTATTTTTTCTCATCTTAGTTATTACTTTTATTATTCCACTATTATAGCCAATTCTCACATTATCCCTTCTAGTTTTATCACATATTTATCTTACATTCTCAATTATGCTACATTAAACATTTTCTTTAATGATTTTTTTTTCTCACACTCAGGTGTGCATAGCATTGCCTAATATAGATTTATAAAATGAATGTCCGATTGATATTCTAGTAATGCATAGTACTCATGCAATTATACATTGTAACCACCCAACATTAGTTGTACCCTATAATAGTTATGGTTCCATTTATGTTGTCATTATGTTGCATGATAGATCCAAATTTTTAAACTTTCAATCCTAAATATTAAATGATCTTCCAATAATATGGATTTCTCTTTATGAATTTCACTTGTTTTAGAATTATACATCAAGTATTAGAGTTTTTACTAATTCTAAGATCCTTATTGTCTAACAATATCTTTTATTTCTCTAGCTATGAGTGCAAATGTAGGTGTCTCTCCTATCCGAAATATATAATATTTAAATATCTTAAATTATTGTATCTTTTCTTGTGAGCATCTTGATAATCAATGCAGATTAAACAAACTTAAATTACTCTTTGATCTAATATTTCCCTATTGTTTTCACCAAATAATCCATAACTTTATTATATATTATGTACACTTATTTTCCTATTTAATGCCCACAAATTATAGTTTATCTCATCACATCTCTATCTCTTGGCTCACACCCACAATGAATATTCTCATGACCAATCATGACGAGAAATCAAATGCCCTTTTAAATCACCAATAGTGTCTATCCTCTTTGCCTCGAATGCAACTTGTAGTAATCCATCTTTTTCTTTGCAAATTGATTTTCGAAGTTTTTTAAAGAGTATTTCTTTCAAATTTGTTTTCAGTCCAACTCAAGGAGTATAAGCACTCATCATATTTCTAATTTCCCCATCATTTTAACTTCTTAGAAAATACCATAACAATGTTATTGTTATATTTTAATTCTCTACCAAAATTATTTTATTAGCATTATTCCTGACACATAGTTTATTATAAGCCTAATAATCTTTGGATCTTTAGTTTTCAAGTTCTGTCCATTCATGTAAAGTTTGTATCTTTCATGGCCAAATTTCTCAAATTCTATGTAATAAACTAATTTCGAATTTAGATTTAGTTAACTCTTACTCTTTACTCTGATTTTCACCCAAATTAAATTAATTTCTTTGTCCATCATTTATATTTGATTTAATGAACATGTATCTATTTCTCCCCACTCTAAAGTTAAGTTGCAGTACATTGGCTAAGCTATGGCTTATGGATTATAAATAAAATTAACATGATTAAATAGATAAAGCATTGTGCAAACTTTTCAGAATGTTGTTCGACTCCCTTGGCTTGGTGATGCCAACATAGTGTTTATATAATATTGAAGGTTCCTGGAGAGAAGGCTTCCAAGATAGGAAAATGGTGAAGGGCTGATAAAATTGCTTATAAAATTGAAGGAACAGAATACTGAGAGAGACTTCCTGTAGTAAAAAGATGAACAAAGAATTTCATAGCCTTACTCTGGGCAGTTGTGAAAAGCTTTATGGCTGAAAATGAATGTCATTAAGTGGCTGGGTCAGTATTGATTAGTGTGGAATTTCCTGAGGATTGATTAGTATGTTGTGCATGGTGCACTGGGTCAGTATTGATTAGTGTGGAATTTCCTGAGGATGATAGCAGATTAATTGCACTAGTGTTGTGCATGGTGCACATACGTTGAATCATTTTAGTTACATTAGGTATGTCTAAACCTAAATAGCTTGAATCTAATTGGTAATAGAGCTTATGGATTCATTGTTGTGTAAACTAAATGTAGGTATTACCAAATTGGCTTAGATTTTGTGAGTTTGGGACAAAATTGAGTGCTTGGAAAATTTTGGGACTTTGATTCACTCTCCTTTGATCATTTACTTCATATATTGATGAATTGATTGAGATGTTTGATGATAATGATAAATTATATGTTGATTTTATGCCGGTGTTGAATGATCACAATGGCATAGATTTAACTTTAGTCTTTGGTTTTGGTTTTGGTTTTGGTTTTGGTTTTGGTTTTGGTTTATTGTTTGGTTTTGGTTTATTGAATTCCAACTTTAAATTTAAATAGTTTTTTTAATTATTTCTAACTTCTAAATTTTATTTAACATTAAAATAAAAAATTCATATATATGGGGTGACAATTTAGGCTC